GTTGGAGCATGGCAATTCTGATTGTATCGATCGTTGATATAACACTGGGTGATACTAAATATGTATATTATATTTGAGGTCACTGTCGCATAACGCTTGCTTCTGATTTCATTTTGCAGCTTTCGTGGACAGTTCTGGTATGAGGATCTATTATACTCTAAACTAAGGGAATTTGATGCAACGATGCTTACCGTTGGTCACCTCGTTCGACCCACTCAGGTGATTCCACCAGGCATGAGAAAATTCACTACCAAGGCGTATTGCTCCGGTAATTGCACGCGTAATGTAAGTAGCAACGTGTTTCAAAATTTCTTCTGAATGACGCTGATCAGTGGTTTAGCATTGAAGGTACTTTGCAACCGAAACTCCAATAGCCTAACCTACAGTTAGCATTAACGGTTATTACAACTACAGTCCTAATGGTCTAACAAACCACCACGCAGTTAGCATTAACAATTACTTTACAACCACAGTCAAATGGCATAACACGCAGTCCCAATGGTCTAACAAACCACCATGCAGTTAGGATTAACAATTACTTTACAACCACAGTCAAATGGCATAACACGCAGTCCCAATGGTCTAACAAACCACCACGCAGTTAGCATTAACAATTACTTTACAACCACAGTCAAATGGCATAACACGCAGTCCCAATGGTCTAACAAACCACCACGCAGTTAGCATTAACAATTACTTTACAACCACAGTCAAATGGCATAACACGCAGTCCCAATGGTCTAACAAACCACCATGCAGTTAGGATTAACAATTACTTTACAACCACAGTCAAATGGCATAACACGCAGTCCTAATGGTCTAACAAACCACCATGCAGTTAGGATTAACAATTACTTTACAACCACAGTCAAATGACATAACACGCAGTTAACATTAACAGTCACTTTAAAATTCAAAAGAATGCAAGTTCGAGTAATACCATTCGCTTGGCATATTACGTTAAATTGCAAAAGCGAGCCAATGCAAACGAGAATGTCAAATGTAACCGCAGAAGGGCTCCCTTGGCGCTGTTCGTGTGCTAAGCCTTGTGATTGGCTAAGTTGCTGTCAGTCGCCATTTTGAATTTATAAGCATTTTATATAAAATCAATTCACGCCTTCATGAAACCCGGTGTATACACTCATGTAATTAACATAATATGTATACATGTTTCGAATGTCTATTAAACAGTCGCATCCTCCCAGTGAAACTGTCAACGCTCTTGCATATTTTAAATTACCTCAGCATAGTTCCGTGAGTTATTTTTTTGTATATTTGACAGGTTTTTCTGTTGTACGTTTTCATGTGAAACTCTGTTTTTATTATACTTTACAGACTTTGACTGATTCTTCTACAAACGAAACAACCGACTTGCATATATTTGCAGGAAACCTCCACAGCCATTTAGCAGGGCGATCCATGCGCCTACGTCATATTAGAGAGGGCACGGAGCTTCCCAATATCATCAAAGACGAGTATTATGATTTCAACTATCAGGAGCTAAATCACCTGCCCACAGAAGTGATTTTAAAAGCGGTAAATATATCGATATACAGGGCAATTGCGAACATGTAAACACGCAAGGTGACTGTTGAGGTGACTGTCTGGTCGCCCCGCAACGTATACCACGACCAAGACAGCTGCATAAACTGCAGCAATAAATCGTGTTGAAATCTGCCAAGGGTTAATGTTGAGGCTTTGGCTGAATAAATGGTCCTTGGCTGGCGAAAGTGCTACATCACACTAACTCGACTCCAAAAAATGTGACTCGCAATAAATGTGTGATGAACGGGACATACAATGACTAGATGGACACGCACATGCCAAATCGCTGACGTAACAGACAAACCACAGTCAGCTAGCGTATAGGCAATAATAAAATGAATGCGATTAATTTACTGACAGACATTTACTATATGGCAGCCGTCTCGAATACCGCCTGAAACTAAATAAAGAAACAAGTTTATAAAGAGTTTTTCAGTTTCCTACAAATCGGGGAAAATATCAAACTTTCACGGTCAAACGATCCGCTTTGGCAATATACCAGGTGTACCGGGTAACGCATTGGTTTAATACCATGATAAAGAATTACAGCAAATAATTTTAGATAAACTGGTTACACTGGTTATGTGCGAACAAGAATTACATATTCGTAGATGAGACCTGGGGTAAAAACAAATCATAGGTTATATGGTTATGCTCACCGGGGTAGAAGTGCATCAAAAAGGGTGATATTTACCTGGAGCTTGTAGGAGTTGATGGTGTGAAATATTTTTCTGTAGTTGACCGACCGTAAATGTTCTCAGTAACCGTAGTCGCATTTACAGAAAATGATTAATCTATCCTCAATACCCGGCGATATTGTGATAATGCCTCATTTCATCTTGACGACATTGGAGCAATGCCGTCAAACTGGTTACGGTACCTGGAGATTGAAATGATCGTAACATATTAACAAAAATTAAGAAAAGAATTACGTTTTATTTGGAGGTTTTGCCGAAGACCGTTTAGATACATTGCGTGAGAATGTTGCCGCTGTTGTTCACCGTGCTGTTTTTACGATACACCCCGACGTCACTTGGAATGTTACACTAATACGGAAATATATTCACTTCTAAATCTTAGTTCCAAACAAGTACAGACAAAACAAAGGTTTAATGCATGAGTGATCTGTATATATTTAATACCCACCACAGGGACGAGTATACCACGAAATTTGAACCAGTTTCAAGAAATATACACACGAGCGATAGCGAGTCTGTAATAGAGTGTCTACATGTATTGTTATAAAAAAAGTCAAAGACCATGTTTAAAGCGAGGGGAATCGTCACCTGCGCATGCGTCAGATTGTCCATAGCGTGCCATTGTTTACAAACAAGCGTCTACCCTTTGCGTATTAGCGTGTGTTGTTATCGTCGCTTGGGACTCAATTCCCGCGCGTGCGCAGGTGACGAGCCTCTAGCTTTAATATGCATCTAATCCATTGAATTTATGCTGTATGTATTGTACCACCTTTGTAATTACAGGGTGATAGTTTGATGCTTGAGTGTGACTACGACACGATGGATAGAACCAGTCCCATATACGTGAGTTAGTTCATTTGTTACATAGTATAGACATTAACAGCAATCTACATTTTTTGAACAAGTGAGAAGACATATAAATCGAGGCCCTTGATTATGTTTTTCTATATCAAAAGTTACCACAACGGTACATTAAACTCCATGAAACACGCGCCTTTTTATTCAAGTTCCACACACAGTAAACTTTTATCTACACGAGCCTATGACAGGGAACCTGTGAACTATATTCCACTCTACGCCTAGTCTCTATGCGGAGGGAGGGGGGAGTATTGGCTGGTAACTTGTGTAAGGAGTATACAAGAGACGAAGGTTCTAGAAAGCCCATATTTTTATGGAAAAGAATGTAAAATAAAATCTATCAAAAGTGCCAGCTTGAATAATATCAGTTGCTCTTTTAAATTTTGCCGAAGACCTACCTTCATTTCACCAATATCGGTAGAATAAATAAAGCAAACTACACTTAGTCTAATTGACTCCATTTACAAATAAATAATGGTTATACAGAAAGAACAACACAGTTAAGCTCAGATGGAGGCGCGGTCTATTCAGAATTTGTCAAAAACCAATCACAAGACTGGTTACGAACCGCAGCGAGTTTACCAGTCTTGTGATTGGTTCTTGTTTATTCTTACCATAGATACCAGCTGATACCTCATCCCGCGCATTGAAACAAGGCGTACAGTTGATTATAGTTTTTTGGCCCCCTGTTGTTCTGTCGAATTACATAGTATGACTACTCTATCACTGTAAACATTGTCAACTCGAATATTACGGTTTCCATGCCAACCATCGGACATACAATCTAAAAACCATATTTGTCTTGGAATACCATCTTCATTGCACTTTCAAGTTAGTGTACAAGAAACATATGTAATATATATAATATACTTTTTTTCTTTCCAGGGCGGCCTTGGTACTTACGATGAAATGTGTCTTGCGTTTATGTATACCTATCCAAGATCTTCGTTAAAGAAATGTTCAAGTACTCTATTGGGTTCCAGCATAGCTGAAGTAGTCAATGTAGAAATAGATCGTGGCCTGTAAGTACATAGAAATGGTGTATTGTAATGTAATATAAATTACTTTCTTTCTAGGACGGCATTGGTACTTATTATGAAACGTGTCTTATGTTTACGTGTGCCTGCCCAAGATTAAGAATTTCTAAGTGTTTGCGCGTCTTCTCGCCGAATCTGACCACAGGAAACTAAATTGTATCAATATTTTCAGCAGCACATACTTTAACTTAAGAACAGTATCTTACAGTATCATTTATATATATATATGTCATAACAGAAACATATTAATGCATAAATACATATTGTTATTGGTAAATATGAGCAGAGAATATACACGTATTTGGGAGTCTAGACCAATAGTGAGCCATGAAACATTGTTAACTCCTCAGCGAAAAATTTACATAGTTGGTAAAGTTTCATTGAATATATTTAAGTTATATATATTTTATTTTAAGACATTAACGGTTTACTAGAATATAGCACCTCGAGGGAAATATATAAATAATACTACCCAAACAAGTATAAAACATTGCTTAATAAACACAGTTTTCACTTTGCTCGGGATGGTATCTTCTGTAAAGTGGAAATAATATATTCAGTCACAAGTTTATATATGGACCTCAATATATATAGTATCAAGTGCACTATAGCGTGAAATCATGGTATAAAATCGAAATCTGGAGTACAAAAATATGCAGATACATTTCACTCTCGCATCGCAATTTTTATAAACAGAGCTATTTAAAAAAAATCGTCGATACTAAAGTCGTGCGAAGATATGGTACTATGAATAATAACAACTCATTTCCTTGACCAGCTTTTTCGTCGTTAACGATGAGGTAATGTGATGCGTAGCGTTTCTAAAATTACTGTACTGTTAGGCATACAAGATTATGGCAGAAAATATGATCTCTGGTCAGTCCGTGGTGTTATAAATAACAGTATTTACTGGCCTATCATATCGGAAATATGCAGTTCTATAGCTGGAGTTTAAAATTGGCATGTTTAATAAGCGCCCTCTATGGCAGGGGTTGCGTTCCGGGTTCATACTACTAATTAGAACTCCAAAAAAGACAATGTTAACATATGATTGTTATATGAAAATGTAGTTTATTGAGCTTGGGTCGTATTTAATGACACGTACTTTACCATGTCATGTGCGCATGTGTATTGATAACGCGGCCATTTGTGTAATAAACCAGTTGTGTTGTTTATATCGTCTCGGAGCTTGCACTTGTTTAGTTTGTCGCAGCTTTCACTGTGCCAAGAACTCAATTTGGCGACGAGGACTTTGAATGTTAGCGTAGAGAGAACCGATAGAACAAGTGAAGTGAGTACAAATTGCTGTTGAGCCTGCTTTGAAGCAAATCAAATCAGTGTCAGCCCACTCCCGCCAGATACAGCTACTTTGCGCCTGGAAAGGTGGATAGCAAGATTCGATAACTATTTTGTAGCCAAGAATATTACTCAGGATACGAGTAAAGAGCTGCCTTACTCTCCACGGTTATCCACCTTGCTGGGGAAAAGGTAATGGGAAGTCGAAACGTACGACCAGTTGCATTGAAGACAGAACTGAGTGAGTACTTCGCGCCAAAACGAAATGTAGTCTATGAAGTGTATGTGTTTCGCCAGGCAAATCAATAACATCGAGGAACACTTCATACATGTGCCGCTAGATTACGGTAGCTAGACAAGAACTGTGAATTTCATGAAAAGAGAAAGAAATAGAATTTCAGATTATAGAAATGCTTTAATCCGAAAATAAGAGAAAAGTGATTGAGGGGGATAATTTTTTTTCTTTGGTGATTTATTGTAATATGGTCGTTCACTGGAAGCCACTATGGATCGGACACACAGTACGTCTACAACCAGTGAATAGGCTGAAGCACATAGTAATGTACCCACCGTGCACAGAATGCACCATTACAAGCCTAGGGGAACCGGTAACGGTAACGTAGGTTAGAAACAATTATATTGGGGTTGTAGTGGTAAATGGCCGTATGAATAAGAAAACTGAATAAAAATACATGACAGTACACTTGGATCATATTTATTCAATACTACACATTCGTGGTGTCACTACCAGTGAAAGGTTATGCTCGTTACATTGCTAGACTGTGGAGTGCAACACAAACGACCTATACCATTTGTGGGAACGTCACAGCAAAGAAAAAGATATTGTCAGCGTACACTGGGAACAAACTTTGCAAGACTGCTGAATTGTCAGCTGCCCAGAACATGATGATGGGCACTGCAGTGTCAACATCCAACCAGGTGCCAGTACTGAATGTGAAAGGAGTGCATCCATGAAATGCATAGAATGACAGGAATTTACTGTCAGCCACTTCACTTCTAATGGGGACAGTTAAGACCACAAATGCACTTAATGGCCTAGCATGAACCAGTTGAGCATCTGATAGATATTAGACACATGTGTGGTGCACCACCTTCTCTGCTACTATGTTTTCCGGGAAGACAGTGAGATCTCATTTCATGTGTTGTTCTTGTTAGGTACCGCAACATCATCACTGCACCAGAGCAGTACGCAAACACACCCCTGAATGTATACTTGGACTACATGAATTGGACAGATGAGATTAAATCTGATCTCCAAGCCAAGTACGACAATGGACTAATGTATGAATATTGTCCACACACGGAGTTAAATGAGGTAAGTATTGTAGTGTATCATGTTCGTGTCTTATTTACTCTAGTGCCAGTACACACATACGAAAACAACCAGTAATATCTTCTTCTTTCAGGATTCGTATTTCACTCCGACTCCAATAAGTGAAACGTTGCCGGACTATAACAGACAGTGTGATTTTGGAGGCGACGGTGATGAGGTTGATGCCGCTGATGGCGCTGTTGAAATTGCCCTCAATATGTTTCTGCAAGTTCTTACCTTAATCATTGTGTGCACATTGTCGAAGTAATATCTTTAATAGATTTTGTGCCGTTGAGACACTGTCTCGACATGTTATATTCATAAAAACGCGAATAACTCCACTAAATTGAAATCAACGTTCAACCTCGGTCCATTGGTTAAAGGAAAAGTCAAGGCAAACATATCACTCCCAGATGAAAGAGTGCGGCAAATATACGAAAAGGCAATCTACAGGTTTTTTATATCACTTTTCATTCTCTAGATATTCAACTTTTCATCAGTCTTATATAGTCCGCCATCATGTTCCTCCAGCAAAGGATTATGGGTAAAGTATGAAGACATATTCACTGTTGTGAGAAATTGAGAAAATAATTTCACCTATAACTTCAAAAGTTGACATACATATAAAATAGTTTTCATGACAACAGAACTGAAAATTTGTGTGTTTTTCTTCCAAATGCTCAGGTTTTCGTATACTAGTATTGTATACAATTTATCCATGCGAGTAGGTTATACAGGTTATATATATTCTGTTGACCAAAAAATGGAACAAAAAATTGTCCAGCAACCAAAATAACGATAACCAAAATGTTTATATCTTTAAGTTTTGTGTATTTGTAACATTCTAATTTCCTTTACTATAGTAATATACATTAGTAATATGTACACCGAAAATTTGAACAAGTTCAGCTCAGTATTTCTCAGGTTAAAGCATCTTCTTAATTTTTCACAACAGAGGATATGATGTCACACTTTAGCCACAACCGATTGGTGGATAAACAAGATGGCCGACTAAATAATACTGATATAACCGATGAAACGTTAAATTGCTAGGGAATGAAAAGTGATATAAAAAAAACTGTAAATTGCATTCTCCTACATTTATTGAGCTCTTTCATCTGGGAGCATTGTGTTGTTTGTCTTGACTTTGTCTTTAATATTATCCATGTCATATTGCCAATATCATGCAACAACTACTACAAACGTTTAGTCTTCTTTGGCGATCAATATGCATACACAGACAAAATGCAATGAAACAACTTGAACATGAACTTTATCCACGAATCACGCTTTATCATATGGCAAACTCTTGAAACTGTCATATATTTGCAAGCAGGTCTGAAACCCCGTTTCTGTTTATTAATATTAAAACGTAACGAATCTTTGTTTTAACACAGCTACGACATTGACAAGAAACGTAACGATTATTACTTGGATACAAATACGCCATTGTCATGAATTGTAATGATTTTTATTTGAATACAAATATGTCATTGTCATGAAAAACGTAACGATTCTTATTTGGATACAAATACGTAACGATTCTTATTTGGATACAAATACGTCATTGTCGTGAAAAACGTAACGATTCTTATTTGGCTACAAATACGTCATTGTCGTGAAACGTAACGATTCTCATTTGGATACAAATACGTCATTGTCATGAAATGTAACGATTCTTATTTGGATACAAATACGTCATTGTCGTGTAAAACGTAACGATTCTTATTTGGTACAAATACGTCATAACGATTCTTATTTGGCTACGAAAACGTCATTGTCATGAAACGTAACAATTTTTATTTGGGTACAAATACGTAATTGTCATGAAATGTAACGATTCTTATTTGGATACAAATACGTCATTGTCGTGAAAAACGTAACGATTCTTATTTGGCTACAAATACGTCATTGTCGTGAAACGTAACGATTCTTGTTTGGATACAAATACGTCATTGTCGTGTAAAACGTAACGATTCTTATTTGGTACAAATACGTCATTGTCATGAAACGTAACAATTTTTATTTGGATACAAATACGTCATTGTCATGAAATGTAACGATTCTTATTTGGTACAAATACGTCATTGTCATGAAACGTAACGATTTTTATTTGGATACAGATACGTCATTGTCATGAAACGTAACGATTTTTATTTGAATACAAATACGTCATTGTCATGAAATGTAACGATTCTTATTTGGATACAAATACGTCATTGTCGTGAAAAACGTTACGATTCTTATTTGAATACAAATACGTCATTGTCGTTAAAAACGTAACGATTCTTATTTGGATACAGATACGTCATTGTCATGAAACGTAACGATTTTTATTTGAATACAATTACGTCATTGTCGTGGAAAACGTAGCGATCCTTATTTGGATACAAATACGTCATTGTCATGAAATGTAACAATTCTTATTTGGATACAAATACGTTATTGTCGTGAAACGTAACGATTTTTATTTGGATATGTGGGGAACGTTTAATGTTCTGCTACAGGTTTTCGCCCATTCCCAGTGACACTGAAGAAACTCACGGTTTTCAATGAACACAAACTCTGTTTTATTTCAATGGAACGGTTTACAAACACTTCTAACATCAGCGACATCTTGAACATTCTAGAAAAACCTACCAACGAGGCTCGAACAGTATCATGGGTAATGGAAGAGTATGGAGAATTTATCTTCCAAATCAGAGTGAAATCATCGTGAATGACAATAACTGTAGAATAGCTGGTGCATAAATTTTGTAATAAACGAATTCCCGATATCAGAGTGTATACACAAATAAATCACGAATCTTGTATAATGATATATCCTGAATGTTTGTTGTTCGATAATAATTCAGTCACAATGTTCATAACAACTCTCATAATGCGCTCTGAATACCCGAAAGTTCTAACTAAGAATTATTTCTCATATTTGAACTTCGCTAATGTTCATAACAATAATTGAGACTCTAATATAATAACTAGACTTTTGGAACAAATGTCAACATAAAAATCGATAAATAAGAAGTTTGTTCTCGGCTCCTGGTGAACGTGACCCCAGGTCATCAGTGTTACTAAAATAGCCACTTAAATTAGCAGCACTACATAGCAGGTTTTCCACAGGATACAAATACGTCATTGTCATGAAATGTATCGATTCTTATTTGGATACAAATACGTCATTGTTGTTGAAAACGTAACGATTCTTATTTGGCTACAATTACGTCATTGTCATGAAACGTAACGATTTTTATTTGGATACAAATACGTCATTGTCATGATATGTAACGATTCTTATTTGGATACAAATACGTTATTGTCGTGAAAAGCGTAACGATTCTTATTTGGTAACAAATACGTCATTGTCATGAAACGTAACGATTCTCATTTGTAGCCAAATTCTTATTTGGATACAAATACGTCATTGTCGTGTAAAACGTAACGATTTTTATTTGGCTACAAATACTTCATTGCCGTGAAACGTAACGATTCTCATTTATAGCCAAATTCTTATTTGGATACAAATACGTCATTGTCGTGTAAAACGTAACGATCTTTATTTGGCTATAAATACGTCATTGTCGTGTAAAACGTAACGATTCTTATTTGGCTACAATTACGTCATTGTCATGAAACGTAACGATTTTTATTTTGATACAAATACGTCATTTTCATGAAATGTAACGATTCTTATTTGGATACAAATACGTTATTGCCGTGAAAAACGTAACGATTCTTATTTGGCTACAAATACGTCATTGCCGTGAAAAACGTAACGATTCTTATTTTCACACTACTACGTCATTGACATAAAACGTAACGATTTTCTTACTAACTACGTCATCGATATGAAACGTAATGATTCTTATTTTGACACAGCGACGTCATTCGTAATATACGCAGTGTAAAATATGTAATATCAAATTAAACTTCCACTGCATGCTAATATGTTATTGTGTACTATATATATATATATATGCAAATTAGGAACACCAGTATTAGTTTCGGTTTGCCAAGTCTTATATAAGTGGTGTGTATATGTCTGCAACTTACTGTCTGCAAATGTATCTGTTATGAATGGTGTAAATTGTCCCACACCTTTACTGCTTACAAGGTTGATTTCCACATAGTGTGCTGCATAATACGTTAGAGTCTTACAAACATTTAATTGCTCCTCTTGTGTCGGTGTTCACGACTTCGAAACCAACATTTAAAGCAGAACTGTTGTCGCAACTGCGCATGTGCAGATGATACTCACCAACACACGATACACACTCACTCACGTAGCAACCAGTTTTCAGAAAGGTGATAAATACGAAATACTGACAAAACCATCTTTCTATAATTTAAAAACGCTTTATAATAATAAAATGTCATTTTAGCGAATTTGACTTAAGTTAGCTAAAGTGCCAACAATCATATTATAAGCTATATTGTAATTTAGCTACATCTTGAATTAGGGAATTTAACGAAAACAACAAAATAGCTAAAATGCTTTACTGCAGTATTGGTCGGGTCCGGTCACATTTCAAACCATTTTGTGATGATAAAGCAGAAGATTCGACCATTAACTCCGATTAATTTGTACATGTATGTAGACTAATGTAGTGAACGTAGATGTCTAGTGTAGTGTTTCGTATATTTG